AGAATTTCTTTGTCTAATACTAGACAAAGAAATCCATTCTTTTTCTTTTTTTCGGTTTTTGCTTTCATTAACATGCTTGTGGAACAGTCCTCATGAGGAGCTGGTAGATGCACATCGCACATCTTAATTCATTTTCTTCCCCTTCACCCTCCCTCTCTCCTTCCTCCTTCACTCTCTTGGTCCTTCTCCCATTTGTAAAAGATCTATCTACCATACTGTCTTAATCCTTTTATCTTTGCACCTTCAAAGTAATTTTTCAAGTTTATCTTCTAATTGACCCTGCAGTCTTTTGCCTGTACTATAAATTGACTATGCTATTCTTCTATTTCGTTTTCATCACATAGAAATGTGTCTTATTTCAACAAATTTAATTTGTTCACTTGTCAAGTCTGTAATATTTATAGTATCATGCTTCTTTTCTTGTGTTTTTGGTTCTACTTGATAAATCTTTAGGCATCTTTATATAAACTTCAATGATTGATACTCTTCATTTCTGATGCTTTCTGAAACTCAACTTGTTATTTATGGTAGTCTTTGGATCTTCCTATTTGTAAATTAATGTTCATATCATTCTTAAAATTTAATTTGCTAGGGCTGGGGATGTAGCTCAGGGGCACTATTGCCTGTCGGGCAAGCACGAGATTCTGAGTTTGATTCCTGGTACCAAAAAAAAAGAAAAAAAAGAAAAAACAAAAAGTTAAACTGATAGCATATTTGCATGCAGGTCTTGTGCTATGTGATGTCCACTGAATGACTGGCTCTCCAAAGGATTTCTTTCTCTAGTATTAGGTGCCTCAGAAGTAGTACAGCTTTAGTATTTCAATTAAATAATTCTTAAAACATAGAAGAAATATACACTTGAACACCAAAACCTAATGTTGACCCTCAACTGAGGGTTCTTCTGCTCAGTTTGACCTGAAATCAGGAATAGACTAAACGCAGCAATATTAGTGTGAAAAGATCTGAAGTTACAATGTCAGAAGCTATCGGTTCTTAGAGTTAATAGTCTTTCTTGCTACTTGGAGATAGCAGTTGGTGGGTTTTGGGGCCAGCAGTCATTAGTGTCATCCATTTTAGTATCAAAAGTCAGATTACTTTCTTTGAAATACAAATCTTGTCAGTGTCAAATCTAGTCAAAATGTATCACCTAAAAAAGAATCTACTGGGATTTATGCAGCAGTGTAAAGAAGAATGGCGCACAGAGAGATGGAATGGAGGTATTGCAAAGTTCCTTATATAGAGAAACAAAAGTGCTTACACATTTGCAGTGTGGGACTTTCTGTTTAGGCATGCACATGAGAGTGACTCCTTGAGACTGGACTGAGGATGTTGCAGATCAGCTGTGAGATGGGGTCACTTGGGAAAGACTCATGACCTTAGCTTTCCACAGTCAAAGGGAAGATGAGGAGAGGCTTTGGGGCATCCGATATACCCAATGCTGGCTGCAAGGCATTTCAGACAGTATCCACACAAGAAAATGAAGCTCCTTTTGGGGAGTGTTGAACCTTACCCTGCTCTTCACTATCAAAGCACGACCTGCTGGTTACAAATTATCAGGGAAGAGGGATTTTTTAATCTATGCGTAGGGAGAGAGGAGTATATTTTACCTGTGCAAAAGGGGGAATTTGTTACCAGTTTTGTACTTTGTAAAAAAGTTTGTTCAAGAGAATGCATATCAACTCAGGTGCACCTCCTAAGATGTTGCACCTTTTCGTGACACTGCATAGGAATTAGAGAAACCGTGTGAACAAAAATAACATCAGTTTTCATTTTTCTTAAGACTGGTTATTTCCTCTTCTGGTTTGTCATCTTTTTATTTTAGAACCCATTTTATTTAAAGGAAAAATATGCTAACATAAAACTTCAAAACACATTAATCAAGGGCAACAGTGGTACATGCAGTGAACATTACCATCCCGAATCATTCGCCTAGAATACAAAGCGTCTGCTTACAGCTGCCTGAAAAATATCAGCACGAACTTTCTCTTCACGGAACTCAAAGATGGCTCAATATTTTTATTAGCAAAATTTCCACTTTATCTACAAGTAATAAGTATGTCTATTCTCTGTATTCCAACACAAAATATATTTTCTGCATTCCCAAAGATTGTGGTAGTGTTTTGTTAATAGAATTGTCTTTTCCATTGTATAGATTGCATGCTTCAAGAAATAATTATCTTTTTGCTTTTGTCTAGAATGTTTCCTCCCATCCACCACCTTTATTTTCCCCCCGCATCAGTGTAGCAGTTGACAGTGTTGATACGATTGTGTTGGTACTTGCTTGGGGATTGGAGTATCCAAATCCTGGGTGCTGCATAGGTCATGGGAGCAGAGCTGTGGAGTCCTCTCTGGATCCTCACCCTTCATCTGTGTTCCTTGTACCATTTCCTGCCTCAAAGAGCTTCTCTGTCCTGTTATTAAAATGTACAATGTCAGTAGATGAATTTTAAACATCTATTTCATATTGCATATGAACATTCTTTGATAATGTTTTTATTATGTTGCAAATTAACCTTAATGTATGCCTTGAAGTTTACTGAAAGGATATAATAAGAAGTTTCTAAATATTATTTTTTGAAAAGTACAGATTTTTTGTTTTGTTTTGGTTTGGTTTTCTTGAGACAGGGTCTGATTGAAGTTACATATGGATTCAAACTCACATATCCTGTTTCCCCACCCTCCAGAGTCGTAGGATTACAGGCATGTGCCACTACATCCTGCTGCATGGAGTGGAATGTGAAAAGAAAGCAATGTGTGTCTTAGTGCTTTCAGGTCACCTTTGATATCTATTATATATGTGACACGGAATCAATTTTAATTACTTTAATTTAAAAAAAGTCTCAGCTTTCAACAAAAATTAATCTTAGCATTATCTTTCTGAGTAACCCCATTTTTATTCCATTAATAATGTTTTGTCTTCTAAAAATAGTTTCCGCTTTCCGCAACTTGATCTTTATATGAAGCATATTATGCTTCAGAATCATCATATGCGAAGCCACATCATGACCTGGTGTCAAGATAACTCTTCCTGTCACTGGTCTCTTCCTTAAAGAGTTGCATCTGTAACCAGGTGCAGAATTCAAATAGGCTTTTATTTAAGCATGAAAGTTCCATTACCATTTATTTTTTTGAAAATTAATTTACTTTTCTTGTGCTTATTTTTACCTAATTTTTTAATTCATTCACATTATTCTCTTTATTTCTTACCTGATAAGATTATTGTGAAATGTGATATTGATTTTTTGGTGTCAATTTAGGACATAACTTACAAATGGGTCATTAGTGATAATTACCTCATTAAAATATATTTTTCGATGTAGCAAGATATTTCTTCTTTGTAATTTTATTACATGGATACATGAATAGTTCCAGTTATCAAGGCAAGAATTGTAAAGAATGGTTGATGTATGATAGCAATCACATACTGTGATATAAAATACTGTGACATAAAATACTGTGAGAGCACATGCAGGGAGTTCGAGTGTTCCTCATGCAGCTGTGAGCCAGTTGGCCAGCAATAGTATACTCAGCATTATACATAACCTGCTAATTGATGCAGCTTTCTGTGGATCCTCCCATTACACATGTGCTTTATGTTTTATAGATTTCATTTTCTGCTTTTTTTCCCAGTCTAATCCTCTTCATGCCAAGAGTCCAGTTCTTACCTGCCTTGAATGGGAGTTTTAATATAACATTTACATTATAAAGCATTATGAAAATGATGTGTGAAATGAATATTATTAACATAGGCGAAATATGCCAGCTTATATATACTTTTCATAGTAATTCAATTATTGTAAAATACAAATAGATTTGCAAAGGTTTGAATTTTGTTTACTACTCTTAATCTGCTTATGAACTCAAAAATCTGTGAGCATTCTCTGTAGTATTAATTAGATTGTCAGCTTTGGTAGATTGATTTTTATACTAGTAAATATCAAAAAACAGTAAGTGTCTATCTAAATATTTTCTAAAATGTATACAATTTTAAAGTTTTGTGCATTATTCCTCTTTGTAATATTGTGATTTTTTGCTTAGAAATAATTGAACATATTTAAATAATAATTAAACATATTTAATAGGTCATTGTCCTTCTTAGCTATTTTTGAGTGGAAACCTCCATGCTTTGTTTTTTGCAGTTCATAAAAAAATTGTTTTCAGAAGCTCAGTCTTATAATGTCACATTATCAACACTCTTGTTTACATGTTAAAACAGGAAGTTTTGAACATAAAAATGGTACTTGTGGAACATTCCTGTACATTTTTTCAGTTTATTGTATATCAGATAAATTTATTTAGCATTGGACGTCAAGTAATTAAATATTCAATAAATATTTTAAAATAAGTGATACAGAATTCAAGTAATGGATTATATTCTGCTACTTATGAATGAATTTTCATTATGGAAGTGTATAACACAGATGCGTTAGTTTTCTTTACACAAAGCATTTTTTAAAATTTATTTCTGACAATGGTATAAAGAGACTATACAAAAATGATGTTTCTGCGTTAATCAATACATTGGTAATTTCATAAATAATAGCTTATATCATCCTGACAGAGTGCCTCATTTTCGTACAGAAGATAATGCACTCTCAAGTGAAAAAAATTGATACATATGATGTGAGATCAAAGGTTCCTTGTGTTAGGTAAGTGTGGTGATTTTGTTTGCTGATGAATAGAGAACATAAAGTGCATAAGTCAGAGATGACACAGGTTGGTACAGGTTCGAAACCGGAACTTATCTATGTAACAGGTAACAACATCAATATGCAGAAAATCACCAGTTTGAAGCCTCCCTTACAAACTATTTCATTTGCTGTGCAGCTCTGCGGGCCCATGCCCACTAAAAGAGGTCACCAGATGCAGCTTTGATATTGTATAAAAAATTTATTCTCTTACCAAGAGCTACACATAATCCGTTTTCCAGGGGGAAATGTTAGATTTTTAAATTATGTTCATACTTTTCCTGATGATCAAATGTTATGTTTCATTATCAGGTCCAAAGTGGTATCCTTCTCGAATTGGGCTACAGCTGGAATGTGGTAAGAATCAATTTTCAGTGATCAGTGTGTTGAATTTAGAATCCCTTTTCTATCATGAATAGCAGACGTTCATCATTTGTTACAGACTTATTTGATCTTCTCAAGAAGGTAGTGCTTCGTTTTTACAGCTGATAAAGTTAGTATCAAAGGGGTGATACAAATTTTCTGTCTCTGAGTCTCACAGGCAACTTCTAAACAAACATCCTTTTTTTCTCCAAACTGCTGAGCCATTATTCTCCTGCTTTTTAATATATTTTCAAGGATAATACTTGTCTCTTTAACTGGTTTTAATCATGCTCCTGCTATAAAGCAAAAACAGTGAACATGGAAAAGTGTTATATCTGCTGTTATACCTCAGATTTCTAGAAATTATAAATTTTATTGTTTTAGAAATGTATAATAGATATCCTCAAAAATTAATCCTATTTAAGAATTATCATTGTTGATTTTACATCAACTTGGTATTAAATTTGGAATTTGTAATTTTAATGGAAACTCTGAGTAAACACATTTTCTTTTTTATTTGTCTTTTATTTTCTTCCTTTCCTTTTATTTTTCACTGAGGGGAACAATCACAATTTTTTTTCAATCACAATTCTTAGCAACTGTCAATCTGTGGGAGGCACTTGACAATATAATTCAATTTTTAAATTTTCCATTATATAAAAAACTGAATTTTTAGGGTGTTTGTTAATATTTAGGCTGCCTGCTCTCATATATTTTTGAAAGTTTAAAAATGATTCTATTAAATTTCTTGAAATTTTGTTCTCATTATTTTCATTAACAGTCAGTCATTCAGGAATACTGAATCACTGAAAAATGAAACTGGAATCCAGAACATTTAAGAAGTCACAGTTTTCCATTACAAGGATTGAATCCAAGGCTTACATCCCCAGCTCCTCTCTCTCTGTCTGTCTGTCTCTGTCTGTCTGTCTCTCTCTGTCTCTGTGTCTGTGTCTCTGTCTCTCTCTCTCTCTCTCTCTCTCTCTCTCTCCCTCTGTCTCTCTCTCTCTGCTGCCATGGTCTTCCTAGATTGTTATGGTGTTCAGGTTTGAACTGGAAATCCACTCGTCTCAGCCACAGAGAGATTGGATTACAAACCTGATCCACAACACCCAACTAGAAGTCATACATTTGATCATCTCAAAGTCTTTCTTACTGAAAGATGTCGGTTTTCCACTTGAGTGGAATTTAGGCGAGAAAAATCACTGTCTTATTGTTCTGTCCATGGATCCTCATACATGCATGAAATGAAATAGTTGTGAGTTTTCAGATCATGACTCAGTACAAAGAAAGCCCACAAAGAATGCATTTGGCATCGATGTTAAATATAACTCCTATTTGACAGCACTATAAGGGGTTGAAAGATTTGTTACTTCAATTCTAGGTGGACTTTACTTTTTTGTTACATTTATTTACTTGTTCAAGTGTGCCAGAATGTGATTAGAGAAAAGAACAAACATTTTCTTGAAACTTAGATAAAAGTATGGTGATGCATTTAGTAAATGAGTCAAATAACTTAATAAAGGAAGATATAAAGCATTTATTCAGATAAACACAGAATTCTAAACTTGTTTCATCTATTGACCTATCTATAGTTTTCATTTGTAAGGTAAATCTGATAAAGATTAAAATCCTTTCAAATTTTAAATTACATTATGGTGATAAAGTATGCAATCATTGACCTCTCTTTTCATCACTGGTTCCAAATAATACATAAAGCTTTATTCACAGTGTTCATGCTAAAGCATCACAGCTTCAACAAATTCTTAGGTTTAGGATTATGCAGCACAAAGCCTAGTTCATTCTTGCAAACAACTATACAAAGTGAGGCTTGAGCTAATTTGGGCAAGAAAGTTGAGAACCTTAACAGGGCCAAGTATGTTTTAAAGAGTAAACAGGAGTTCTAGGTTGTATTTCTCTTGGTTTCACATATTTCTCACCATTTGGAAATGCACAAATTCTTGGAAAACTGTGAACATGAATCTGATTCCTGAGTCTGAGAATTGCATGATTCATAATACATCTGGATTTTTTTCTTTCAAAATAATATATTGATCAGAGATCACATTTTAAAAATGACATTGATGAACTCTTCCTTGAAATGAGAAAGAGTGATAAAGGAATGGAAACCAATCTCTCCAAGGGGACCAACAAATGTGCATTGGAAAGCTTTCTCCAAAGCAAGGTGGACTAATCTGTCAAAATTTCCTTCCCCTGCTAACACTTCCTTACATGTGATTGCCGTGTTTTATGGATAGTTAGGATATAATATTTACAGTATTTCCTTGATCCATGTTAGTGTTGCACACATGTTAGTGATGCACACTACTACAAATTTAACACAGATTTACCACAGTCCCTTTGATTAGGCTGAATTGGCGTTATGGCTGAATTCACTGCTCATGATGTAAGGAGACTGCTGCAACCCCTTCCTGAAACTCCTATCTTCTTTCATGTTAGTGGAATAACTTGCATTTTTTAATGCTTGTATTTTTTGTTTCCTTTATGCAGTTGTCTGACAAGGGTCCTTTGTTGTCCTGTGAGATGTCAGCTCCGCTCTACGAGGCCACCTACATTCTTCAAAGCTGGCCTTCTCTGTCTTCAGGCTGAGGGTGCAGTGACACAATCTTTTTAATACAGAGAATCTCTGAAGTGTTCTGTTTCTTCACACTTCTCAGAGACTATAAGATCTCATATGATCAGGTCAGATCCATCTAGATAATCATTAAAAAAAAATCTGTGCAGCATAACCTAACCAAAAAAAATAATAATGTAGCCTATCATTGCTAGAATCCCACATTATACAGAGGCCAGGAATTTTAGTGTCTAATAAATCCACAACCACATTCATCTCTTTAGCCAAAAGTACCTACAGAATTGCATATATTGCTATGCTCATCTAAATCATCTATCTATTCAAAGTGGATTCATCAAATTAACATCTTTAATATAGCAAAGCACAATCATACACATATACATATTTATTTTACTTTAAATTATCTCCTCTTATAGATATAGTTTCTCATATTCTAAAAACCATCCCATGAGAGACACTAATTAACAGTTTAACAGGTTTTTTTTGAGAAATTAGACTATGACACCTTCATATGACAAGAATAATATATAACAAAGTGACCTAAACTAAAATTGAATAATAATAATAACACTGCATCTAAGAAATTAATTCACTTTTGTACATGTAGCTCTATGTAATTATCTTTCTTTTTGCAGAGTCTATGTTTATTTCAATAAAACAAAATATATTTAGATTAGCTTACTGAGGATTATATCACCTTTTTTGCAATACTTTTGCTGTTGTAAATAATGCTCAAAGTGACTTTGTTCTGTATCTTCCCATACACCCAGTACAGACATGTCTTCTCTTTGTCTTTACTAATGAAATGTTTAATATCTTCCAAGACCTATTTTGTGAGTGGCTCCTTCTCAATCACCTTTACTCTGTCTTCTCACTTGCTGAGATGTGCTTTAAATGTTAATCTACAGCTGTACCTACCCAGGGAGTTACCTACCAAGTCTTCCTTGAATAACTAATAGATTTTATGCAGTTAACATCGCATACAGCAAAACCCTAAATACTTACTCCCTCACCCTGCTCCTTCTTAGTCTTCATGGCAGTTAATGAAATCATAAGGAATTTAAGTACTTGGAGCAAAACTCTAGAAACTGCTTTATGTTCCTGCAGCCTCTCCACTCCACTCCACCAGTTTTTCAGCAAGTTGAATCTGTGTGTGTTTAAAGATAGCTGCAGCTGATAACATACAATCATTTCTGCCAGGCACACTGCAGTGGAAGTGAGCATCGTCCCCTACTTGATCACTTGCTCTCAGTGTCTCCCCGGTGGGCTCTTTCGCACCGCCTACCTTTCATACAGCATTCAGAGCAGTATGTTAGAATGGTAACTCATGCCGTTCCTGCATGCTTTGGGGTAACCGCTAGATTCCCTCTGTCCTCTAATTTTAACCTTAATGAAACCACTTCAACAAGACCTGAGATTCAGATCTATTCGCATCGAAAGTAATACCATTTAAAAAACTCTGTGCCTTATTTTACTAAGACCTAAAGAATATTGTCTCAACGGAACAGTCAACATTTTGTTTACATAGCATTGGGAAACTTTTGTTCATTTGGAAAACTGCTATCTATGTTTTCTAAAATGGATTGTTCACACTTTATGTTAAATTAATGAAACACTGTGCTCTGTAATTTCCATGTAAATTGAATTATTAGCAGTAACTGTTAACACAGTGAACGATTCCTTATCATTTTCCCTTGGAATTATATTTATAAACATTTTATTGTTATTTTTATTTTAGGTGGGCCCTTCTTGAAGGACTACATCCCTATTCAGAGTATTGCAGCATCTTCAATCGTTACACTGTACTTTACAGACTTGGGTCGCCAAGTCAGCTGGACCACAGTAAGTGGCAATTTCAAATGCAAAGCACGTGCTCCATATTTTGTTTTAATTAATGTATTGACAGACTTGTTCCAGTAAATAAATTCACAATGAAACAGAACAATATGTTTTGAGTTGTATTTTAAGTGTTATGCTTTTAATATGAGCTGTAGTCAAGGTAATGTTGAGAAGTTAAAATAATAAAAATATGTGTTGAATAAAATAAATGAACACTTTTTCTTAAATGTCAATTTAGCTTATGACTGGGTGTCCTTTCCTGCTTCCTCTGTGTCTTATCAGTGGAATAACAATCTCTCTTTTTCTTCTAAACGTCGAGAGGTAGCAAAAGACCTCAGTCTGTTGGGTAGAGGAGGAAAAACAATATTCAATAGAATAATTTTTTAATGGAGAGGAGGGACACTTTAGAAATGTGGGAGTAAAGAAATGAGACTTTCTCTAGAGCATGATGCACATGTTTCTGCTCTTTTGGAGGATAATAAGAGCTCTCAGTGACCAGCTCAGAATGCCAAGGAAGCAGAAAAAGGGCATTGCTCTAAAGGATATGAGTGGCTCAAAATCGTGAAAACCCTTTACAGGTTCACAAATCCTAAACTGCTTACTGGCCATGGAATAAACAAGGAAAAAGCTTTAGCAGTAAGAGCAAACAGGACTTTTAGGAACAGAAGCAGCGAAAGAATTAATGTGAAAAATATTTTGACAATGCTATACAAAGAATATAACATAATTTTGTCAATGAATGTTTTTTACAAAGGGCATTTTTAAAGAGCATTATTTAAATTTGAAAGTTTTTGCTTCCAGTTGCATGCATTCAATATTACAACTTAGCTACACTTAACATTTACTAAATTCTAATGGTTTTGACCAGTCTTAGCTGTCCACATTATTATTTTTCCTACTTTGAATCTTTTCACTTAGAAATAAATAACCAATTTTAACAATTATTAAAATATATTATAATATATGTATTATTGATTCCTGAAAAGAGGAACTCAGATTTAAATTTATAAATACGCATTCCATATTTATTACTTTTTAAAACAATTTTCTCTTTTGAGATATACTTTTCTGTATTTGATTTTGTTCTTTTTTATTGTAATTTACAGTTGTTAAATATTCATTTTATTTACACTGACTATTGAGCTTTGGATTATTAATTTATTGAACTGAAAACTGACCTTATAATGGCTTGAAGTCTTTGAAGTATATTATAATATTTAGTAAACATTTACTGGTTCATGTATTCTGTAGTGTTTAATACTTAGATTTGACCAATACACACCTTGGTTTAGAGCTATTAGATAGATCTATAAAGGTTAAGATGTTCCAGATCTTTGTTTCCTCTATTTGTGGTGAATGAGATTTCCGTTTACAGAAATTTGTGCCAGTCTGAGCAGCGTTAACTGTGAGTTGATTAGATATCTCTGGCTGCTTCATTCAGATGAGCACTGAGAGGAAAAGCGAAATTCTATGACAAGTGTACCAGAAAATTATACTCTGTGTGAAAGGAAATCTATTTAAGTGACAAAAATAATTTGGAAATACCTGTGTATTTTTAAATCAAACTAAATCCATACATTCTTTTGCTCTAAATGCATCAGTCCTGTTAAATGCTGACATTATGTACATTAGATTATAATCATGCCCACTTTATAGAAATTAAATTGTGATTACAATGTTTCATTTTATAAGATAAAACATTTTAATATTTATACAACATTAGAATGTATTTATATAATCATTTTGTAAATTTTTAAACTAATTTAACAAGGTCAAAGTTAAGATTTTTTCCTAAATATATAATGTCTTCACTATGTAAGACTGAATAACATTTTTGCTTTACTAAAAGATGAGTTTAAATGTTCACATGATAACATAATGATTCTCATAATACAAAATATTAAATAAAGATCTAGAGTTTCACCATTTTTGTATTCTTCTGACAATAAAAGGGAAGAGGTAGAGGGAGAGAGAGAAAGAAAGAAAGAGAGAGAGAGAGACAGAAACAGAGAGACAGAGACAGAGACAGAGACAGAGACAGAGATAGAGACAGAGACAGAGACACAGCTCTAATTTCCCTTGAATAAATTCACACATTGGATTTTGAACCAAATGTCTGTCATGTTACCCATATATATTTATTCCCTAATGTGAGACAGTCACCAATCGGTTCTCCATCTCTGTAATTCTGTTGTGTGGAGAATACTTAAAATTTAAAATAAAACATTTGTATTTATTGTTCTCAAAGTATTGTAGTCTGGACTTCCATTTTGGTTGCTGCATGTTTTAATACTTGATGTCTTTTCATTTGTTTGTTTGTTGATTTATTTATTTTCTCAATACCTGGAATTAAACTCAAGATCTTGTGCTTGAATTGTAGGCACTCGTGCCACTGGGCTGTATCCCTCACCTTGTCTTTTTATTTTTGAGTACAGTAGTATTAAAAGTCATGATAATTAAGTTCATTTGATCATGTACCATTTGAGATACATTTGATGGTTCTTGGTAATTTATGACAAATGAACCTGCAATAAACATCTGTTTATTGGTATTTAACTACATAATTTTCCCATAGTTTTCCTCCACAGAAGGAAAGAACCTAGGACACTACATCTAGGACATTACATCTGCTAGGCAAGGGCTCTATTCCAGAGCCATAACAGCAGGCCAAGTTTTAAATTATCGAGGACACACTGCTAAGTTCTGCGTATATTCTAAATACACGTGCTAGGTTTTTATGGAGTATGTATATAAAATTTGTTTATTTTAATGAGAATACAGAAAAGAAAAAATATATAAGACAAACAAAAACTGCTACAACAAAAAAAAAAACCCAAAATATAAAAATATAGGTTTTCAAAACAGGATGACAGGAATTTAAAAATGGTTACTACACTGTATATTGTTATCTTCTAAAGATTTGTTTATATTACTAGATCTAGACATGCAAAATTGATGAAAATATATGAATGTTAACTGTTCTTTTCCATGAACTAATAGAATTAGTAGTATAATCATTTTAGCTATCTGTGTACACACACACACACACACACACACACACACACACACACATATATAAAACTTTCTATACACACACACACACACACACACACACACATGTGTTTTATCTTTTATCTCTTCCCTTCCTTTTCTCCTTGCCCCATCACAGCTTTTTTTTTTCCTTTAAATGATCTCTTACCTTTTCACAATGTCTATTATACATTCTGGATCTTATTCATTCGGTTTCTTACATTAAGGAGACAATATGGTATTTATGTGAATCTGATTTATTTCACTTATAAGTATGCTCTCAACTCTCATCCATATACCTATAAAAGTCTTGACTCGATCCTTTTTTATAGTTAAGAAGTACTCAGTTATATAAAAATTCCATATATTTTTATCCATTCCTCAGTTGATAAACATTTGAGTTGTTTCCAAGACTTGGCTATTACAAACTGTGCAGTTATTAACATGAATGCACGTATATCACTGTGGGGTGATGTTTTCAGTTCTTCTAGGAAAATGCCCAGAATAGGGGTAGATGGATCAAATGGAACCTCTCATTCTCACTTTTTGAGGAACCTATGCACTGTTTTCCACAGTGGTTGTACCAGTATACGGTCCTAACTAAATGCAGAAATATTCATTTTTCCTCACAGCCTATCCAGCATTGATTTCTTGATCTTAGCCATTCTTTTTTAAAGTGTGGTGGAATTTCAACATTGTTTTAGCTTACATTTCTCTAGTGACCAGCAATGCTGAGAAGTTTTTCATGTATTTATTTGCCATTTGTATATCCTCATCCATGAACTGTGTATTCATTTCAGATGCTCATTTTTTGATTGAAGAACTCAATTTTCTTCCAAATTTTATATGTTCTAGACGAAAATGTTCTGTCTTAGGGACTCTTGGGAAAGATTTTTCCCAATCTGTGGGATTTTTTGTATTCTGTGGGTGATTTCTTTTGATGTGCAGAATTTTTTTTTTAATAATGAGATCTCGATTGCTGATTCTTTGAAGTACTGCCCATGATGCTTGGTTTTTGTTCATGATCTTTGTGCCTTCATCTATGTCTTCAAGATTTCTACCTACTTTGTATTCCAGTAAATTTAGTGTTTTCGTTTTAATATTTAGATATTTGATTCATTTTGACTTTAGTTTAGTAAATGGTGATAGACGTGAGTCTAGATTTTAAGTGTTTAGCATGTGGAAATGAAGTTTATCCAGCACCATTTACTAAAGATGCTATTTTTCTTCCAGTGAACATGTTTGGTTCCTTTGTCAAAGATAAGTTGGCTGAGTGTGGTTGTAGTTGTGTCTGTATCTTTTATTCTGTTCTGTTGATCCTCAGGTCTGTTTTTTGCCAGTATCATGAAATTTATTGCAGTAACTTTGTAGTATAATTTCAGGTCAAGGATTGTGATGCCTCTTGCTTTGTGTTTGTTGCCTAGTATTGCCGTGGTATTCTATACCTTTTCTTACTGAAGATGAATCTTAGGAATGATTTCTCTAGACCTGGGAGTTAAATGGTATTTGGACTGTGATTGCAGTAAATCTGTACAACATTTTTGGGAAACAGCCATTTCCACCATGTTGATTCTCCCAATCTATGAGCAGGGAATAGCTTTCTATTTTCTGAGATACGTTTCAATTTATTTTTTTGAAAGAACTATAATTTTCAATATGCAGATATTTCATTTCTTTAATTAGACTAATTCTTAAGTATTTCATTTTTTGGATGCTGTTGTGAAAGGTGTTGTTTCCCTGGATTTACTCTCAATAACTTTGTTGTTTGTATACAGGAATGCTATTGGTGTTTGCTGACTTTGCATCCATCTACATTGCTGAATTTTCTGAATAAATCTGGTATGCTTCTGGTGAAATTTAGGGGGTCTTCTAGGTAGAGTATCATGTCATTTTCAAATAATAACTTATCCTTTTCCTATCCTTACTTTTTATTCCTCTCTTATCTGATTGCTTTCATTAATGTTTCCAGAATT